GGGGTGGGGTGGGCTGGGGCACACGATGTCCGCAGGAGGGGCAGAGCTTTGAGAAGAAAGAGCCGTGTGGTGGCAATCCGTTCAGCATTTATTACATTCGGCACAGGGATGACCCCAACCCCCAGGAACCATAAACCTCAGACACAACACCCAGAGCACACTGCGCCTGGGGAGGCTATTTCTCAGGGATGAGGGGAGCGAGTTGCACAGGGGCTCCGCTGGGAGCATGTCCCGGGACCCTGCGACGGCCGGCCACCCCTGCAGCCTCGGATGCCTCCGCTGGGCACCCAGGGGGCGGTGGTCCCATGCAGCACTGTGCCGTCTCTGTGTCCATCCTGGGAAAGGCTGGCCATGGTGAGGATGGGCCCCAGCTCTTCCTGGACCGTTGTGGCTACGACTCGGTGGCTGATGGCACCCAGGCAGCAGTTGGCGTCACGGCGGGAGGCCACCTACTCGAAGGGGAAAACCCTCCACACGGTGGGGTGGCTCGCCTTTGTCCAGCGGGCCACGAGCAGAGGGTAGGACACAGCACAAAGGCGGCCAGGTTGGCAGTGGCTACGTACAGGCCCTTGAGGATGCAGCGGCAGCCTGGGGAGATGCCGAAGTCGGCCGATGGAGGAGGTGCCAGAGCAGCTGCCCCAGCAGAGGCTCAGGATGAGCAGCGGGAGGAGGAGGAGCAGCAAGCAGACTGGGGTCCTGGGGCGCCAGGTGCCGCCTGCCCGAAGGGGAAGAAGCTCTCCTCCACATGCAGCCAGGACACCAGCAGGGCCGAGGGCCCGATGACAGCAGCTACAGGGCCACGCGGGTGAGCAGAAGAGGCAGGTTATCCCGGGTTCCCCCCATTATCCTGGTTCCCCCCATTATCCTGCTTCCACCCCGTCCCCACTGTCCTCTGGGCTCCGGGCCCTGTGCGGAGGGTCCTATCAATCACCAGCACCCGGGGGGGTCCCTATCACGGGAAGGCTTCTGAGCATCACCTACTAACAGAGGAGGAGGCTGGATCCCAGAGCGGGAGAGGACCACGCTTCAGTCTGACAGTCCTGGTCAGCCATGGAGCTGGGACCCCAGCCCCACCGGTCTTTAGGACGCACCCACACCCAGCATGGCCCGAAGCTTCCCTGAGGCTGAGGAGCAGCCCACCCCCTGCCGATCGCCCCAGCCCAGAAACTCACCTGGCCCTGGCTGGCTGGTAAATTTACATCTTGTGGGGCCTGAAGAACAGTCACTTTCTGCCGGCCCCCTGGCCTGGGGGCTCCAGCTGGCAGGACAGGCTGTAGCTGCAGGACAGAGGGACACCTGTGAGCCTCTGGAGCCACATGTC